GATACAATATGATATTAATAACTATGGTTACAACTATAAAACAACAATAAATAGTATTGTCAAATGAAACCATAGTCTCTCTTTTAGTTACTTCTAGACACAACATACTCCAGGAGGTAGAAATTTACATTGGAAAAAAATGGCGCCGGTGCCGGTGCCGGACATTTCCCTTTTTCCAATTGGCAGGCCGGCTTTATTCCAACAAACGCGACAATTTAAGGACAAATGACTGCCCCATACATTAAAGTCGTCAATATAGTTGGCCACTTGGTCCTATTTCCGTTACCAAATATTCTCTATTCCCTTTATTTACCAAAAGAGAAAAAAAAAAGAGAGAGCTACCAATTATTCTTGTTTCCACATTCAAAGTACTGACCACTTGAGTCTCATTGACATGAGAGCTACACCAATCTGTGGAATTTCAGAATAAAACTTGGAAAACTTTATGAATGATTGAACACAATTGTCAAACGAGACCATGATAAATGCCCCGAAGAAAAAAAACCAACGAAAAAGATGTACGAAGTTACCGAGCAAAAACAGAAAACAGCAATTGTGTGAAGGTGAGCAAGGGAATATGCCACGTACTACCAATAATTTCTGTAAACTTTGGCCAGACAAAGCTGTAACAAGTCTTTTATTGCTCTATTATTTTGTCGGTTATAACTATGATCATTATTAAATTTGTTAATATTATAAAAAAAATTTATCAAAATTTATTTTAATTTTATTATTAAAAATAATTAATAATTAATAAAATTATAATTAAATAGGTGACCTTAACAAATTTAATAGTGGCAATAACCTAAGCCTATTTTGTCCCTATTATGTATAGAAAGTTTGATATTTCACAATTCAATTTGCAAAATATCAACCATTAAACAAAAGTTTTTCGCAGGCTTACTGGCATTAGCCAGCTTGTTAGGTGCATTCTCCCCTCCCCTGAGCGGGTTTCCAACCCACCCCGTGTCAAAATGTTCAAAAAAAAAAAAAAAAACAAAAACAAAAGTTTTTCCTTCGATATTAAAAGCAATGTTTGACTATTTTAATAGCAAAACATCAGTCATTGGTTTAGAGAGGGTCTTTTCACCTAATGGGTAATGTTTTATAATTTGGTATAGTCATATAAATTATTATTAAATAGTAGCAATAAAAATGATATTAATTAGTTCATAAAAAAATAATATCAATTTATTACTATAGCATCATCATCTTTTCAACCTGATGCTACATTTCAACCTCAAGATGGTAAAGATCAATGGCTGATAATTTACATAAGTCCCACATAAAGTGAATCTTTAACTCTCAAAAAAATATGAAAAAAAAATATTATAAAATAATTTGATTTCAAACCTCTACAGTATTTAGATTACCAATGAAAAGAAAAGAAAAAAAAAACTACTCAGTACAGAAAACTTTGCATGTGAAACCATCTAGATTCCTGAATCCTATCGTTTAACAAATAAAAAAAAAAGTTTTTTTATCTTGTATTTTTATGATATATGATACAAATATATTTATTATATATTTTTATTATAAATGTATATAAAAAATATAAAAAGTGATATTAATTTTAAT